GATGGAGCATAACCAATCAATCAACCAACCAATTTAAATGCCTCCAATAACTCACCAATAATTTAACATTGTTTATGGCTAAAATCAGGAGTGTTTATTGGTTTTGTATTGATTTATGTTGGAGTCCATCTATCATTTTATTTCCATTAACTTCTTTTGACTAAAATTCTGGATTTTCTATTTGCTTTGAATAGTACAGTTATGAATATTTACTGACATTTCAAGAGCCATTTACATTTCACTCGCTCATGAATCATTAAATCGCACAATTCTGATAAAGAGATCCCATATAAGAAACATCCATTTTCTCAATTTTTTTCTTACCTTGTTATCCAATTACTACAATAGATTTTATGCTCTTAGATAATTATTCTTAAATCTTTTTGTATCATTAAGTGACTTTCTCAATGTTTATACATCTACATTTATCTCTGCTAATAAATCTATATAATTTATATATTTGTTCCATCTGTAAATTACAATAAATGAAGAGAGGTCAGGTAAGGTGAACTTGAGCACAATGCTGTAAAGAGAACTCACTGACACGGCATTAATCCAGATAGTTAAGTGTATGGTGGAGAAACATAGGCAAGGAATGAAAAATTTAAATGAATCTTAATAAAGAAAACTTCCTTTATACACACACACACACACACACACACACACACACATCAGTAGGCAGCTCGAGACTGTAGATGATATCTACAGCTATAATTTTAACAATTATATGGGAATACATTTCTTAGTAACAAATCTAATAAGCATTTGAAATTGTAGTATATGACATTGAAAGCATTAGAAACTCCCAACAGATTTATGTGTAAGACTGGCAGTAATATTAATTACATGAAGAGAATATTTAAGCATGCCCTCTAGCATTCTTCAAAGATCTGAGAACATCACAGAAAAGTAGTCAAACTTTGATATTTTTTCTCTACAACTGAGATCAGAATTACTTTTAATATATGTAAATAAATAAATAGATGTTTATATAGAAGATAACATTTTGATAGTAAGCATATTTAAACATTTTTAGAAGATGCTTACAGACTCTTGTTCAAGCAAAGTCTCTTTGGAGATGTTCTACAACTTAAAATATCATCAGGAATTAAAGTTAATAAGTTCATCTCCCATGATGTATTATTTTAAGAGCAAACATGACCCTTGAAATTGGTTCAAAATAAACCTAAAGGTACTTTTTCAGAAATTCAAGGAGAACATCAGGAATTGCTTTGAAATCCTGAACCTCGTTGATAGAGAACCAGAAGCATTATGGAATGAACTTAACCTGAGGAAAGGAATGGCAAGTATGTTAAAACAGTATTTTGATGTGTTCCCCCTGTATCAAGTTTTATTGGATTTGAAATTTGGCAAAATTGTATATCTTTCAACTGACACATTTTTGATTAGATAATCCATAAATAATGCCACAAAAAGGAGTTAAGATTTTAAGATGACAACAAATGAAACGATCTTAGCTTTCATTCATCCACTTGAAACTTTAATTTTGCAGGTGAAAACTTCATGGTGCAAAGGCCCTGATTTATGTCTTCCAAGGAAGACAGGCAGGATAAATAAAATCAGGTCAAGAATGATGCTATTGTTCTATGGGGTATATCTAAGGCTGATTTTAAAACCATGTAAAGATATTTATACATAAGTGATAGGTCTATTTCATTAATTAATGTGGACAGTATGACTTTAACTACTTTGTTGGTTAGGTGGTTACAGAAGGCAATCAACTCTCCCAGTCAAGGCTTATAAAAAAAATCAGCAAGCATTAAATGCAGAACCCAAGGCAAACAACCAAGGATCATTATAGTGGTTTATTGACAGTATGTCCTGGAGGGGGTCTACCAAAAGAATAATGAAAGTCACTGTAAACAGATGCCCTGATATTTATATATTTCAGAAAGGAAAGAAAATGATGTAGGCTTACATATGCAGAGGTAACAGATGATATAAGCATACATATTAATTAAGTAATAGATCTCAAGTTATTTCTCTCCCTTGTACTGTTAACTATCTTTAAAAAATTTCTTAATAAAAAAGAAACATGTCTGTGAGTTGTCACAGGCATATTGTGATACGACTTGTGTGAGCTGGACACGCCAAGGCTACATTCTTTTAATGTATGTTTCTATTCTATTTACACATTACCATTCTTCAGAAAATTCCTTCCCACAGGCAATTTATATTTATTAATTGATTGATTAGATATAGCTGAAGACAGAAGGGACTTCAGTTTACTAATATCTAGGGCTTTTTTTTTGTCATAGAACACCCAGAACGGAGTTCCGGCACCTTTTTTGGATGGAACCTTGTAGGGTAGGCAAGGCGGATTGTATGACGTGTGTGAGTTCCAGCACCTTTTTTTTTTTTTTTACAAAAAAAGCACTGCTAATATCTATAGTTTTAGAAAAGCCCTTTGATTTAGTTCAGATTAAAATTTTGAAGCAAGTAATTAGTTTTGCTGGGTTTCTAAGGGATTTTTGTTCATTGGATTAAGATGTATTATTTCCCATGGTACATTAGAGTATCAGAAACCACAACAGTGCGGTATCTGGCAGGCTGCCCCTCCACCCTTGCTTTCCAATGTAATCCTTGATCCTTTAGCTAGGATTATATGGGAACCTTTGGGCAATGTGGATTTTGCTTTGGTGGGATATTATTCTTATAGCCCAATGATATTTTGCAATAAATACACAGGATAATTTATATAGGTAGTACAGTGTTTCAGAAAACTTTCTGGCCATAAAATTAACTGGGATAAATCTTGCTTACTTCCCTTATGCTCTAGCACAGGGATCTTTAAACTTAGCCCTTTTATGACTTATGGTCTTCAACTCCCAGAATTCCTCAGCCAGGCATGCTGGCTGAGGAATTCTGGGAGTTGAAGTCCACAAGTCATAAAAGGGCCAAGTTTGAAGACCCCTGCTCAGCATATCATTGCAGTATGTAGAGTATAAAGATCTGAGTTGTGTGATTTCCACTGATTATATTCATTAATTGGGATGGCATATTCCCCCAAAAGATTTCTAAATAGGTAAAAATATGTTGAAACTTTAAAAAAAATTATTAAGTATTAATAGATGTATTAAAATTCCATTGTGTCTGAGAGTAACAGTAATTTTATTAAAATGTATATTGTCCCTTATTTGATTTATGATCTTAGAAGTATCCTAGTATTAGTAGCAAAAAAATTTCAGGTTGATACATTACTTAGGAAATTTATTTGGGATGGTAGTCCACCAAGGCTTTCATTAGCTGAACTACTTACAATTTGAGGAAAGATGGTTTAATTTATCTGATTTGCAAAAATATCATTGCACTGAAATGATATCAGTCATAAATATGTAAATCAAAATTTAATGCATCATAATGCTTTATGGCCTTTGTTGGAAAATTATTATTTATACCTTCAGCAATCATGATATAAAGAACATCTAGTAGGAAAGGAGTCTTATTTCCAAGACTACAGGCTGGGAGAAATCTTTGGGCTATATTGTGGTGTAGACTGGGTTCTGATCATGAATCTAACTCTTCGGAAAAATTCTACTTTAAAAATAGGTGATAAATATTTTATTGGAAAATATGGGTGGAAGCCAGGATAGCAACTTTAATAAATTCTTATATAAGACTATTTTAAGGATTTTTCCTGACTTTAAAGAGAATTGGGTCATCTGAACTCACAACAGTGGCCATATTTTCAACTTAAACAAATTTAATGGCTCATTCTGACCAGAAATTTTGGCTGTTTCAGAAGCATATGTGATGCTTTCCTATTCTGGGAGTCCACAAGTGTTAAAATTGCCAAGTTTGGAGACCCCTGGGCTAAAGAATTGAAATCTCCAATATTGTCCCATCAATAGATTCATGTTCTTAAACATGTTTAAATGGTATTGGTATTTAAACATATTTAAATGTTATTGATACCAGCTGATTAATAAGAAAGATCCTGTGAATCTTTCGACACTTTGGGAGGAATTTTATTTTATGTACGCAAGTGGTTTTATGGGGAAATGTTTAAATATTAAAGATATTAATGTGATATTCAATTATATACCACAGTTCTGGAATAACTGTCCATTAGAAAGTATGATTGTACCACTGAAAAATTGGAAAAGTGATATTATTCCAAATAGTAAAGACTGCCTTTGAAAATGTGTAACTTATCTATTTCATACTTATCAAAGAATGAAGTGATATGTCCTTCTTTGGCATAGGTTTTATGATATTATACAATATTATTTTCCATTAAGATTATCATAACCTAATGATTGTGAGTTTAATATATAAGGTAGTTTTTTTCCTGTTTCATTTCATTCCTTTCTTTTTTGATAGTATGGATTGTTTAGTTTGATATTTTTTATTATTTTATTATGTATTTTTATTATATACTATTTAAATTTTATACTTTCTAAAAATGAATAATGTTTAAGAAAAATAAACTAGGCTATCTGGTATTACTGACATGAACAGAGTGACAAAAACATGGAATTATGTAAATTAGGTGCTATCGAAATATTATGAAATCAGTAATTTTAAGTTACATCTACCTAAGAAAGAATGGATTTAATAAAGTACAGGTGTTGATGTGGGCTTCCAATAAGTCCCCATTTCCAGGTGTGATATGTTAATCTGTAACAAACAATGTGGAGTTGTGATGCTTTAAAAAGAAAATGACCTCATAAGATTCTCTCATCAGCAAAATAAGATTCTCAGTTTACTGGAAGTAAGCCCACCCACTAAATTCAATGAGACTTAATTCTGAGCGGTCATATTTAGAATTGTGCTAAATTGATGTTTAGAATGTCCTCAAATTTGTGTGGTGTTGTCCAAGACCACTTGGGAAATAAAAGAGGACATAAGCACCCCAAACTATTATTTATTTTTTTTAAAAAAAGACTAATCTATTCATTAAATAAGATAAACATCTTTTTTTCAGACAAGGTCACTGAGATCAAGTTAATGATCGCACACACACCCATTTCACCTACCTCCCCGTGATGAACTGACTTCTGGACGGGGTGCACATTGGTTGGACATAGTAATTCTCTAGCTTAACTCCTTCCGCGGCTAGTTTATCCAGAGTAGGAGTCCGGATCTCTGAACCGTGATAACCAACGTCTCTGAAGCCCTGGTCGTCCGCCAGAATGAAGATGAGGTGGGGCTGGAAAGGGGAGTCTTCTTCCAACTTGGCCGTCCCGTTCGGTCCCTCAGAGTCTTCTGCCGTCGCCCCAGCCAGGTAGCCTTGAGTGAGGAGGCTGAGCACGGAGAAACCGGCCAGCAACCACCCGGCTCGCATTTTCCCTCGGCAGAGCCGGGTTCAGCGTGGCTCGTCCCTTCCACTTCCCTAGGAGAGAAGCTTCCTGCGGCGGAAAGAGAAATTAGGACTCAAGAAGTCTTCCCAAAGAGGAAGGGTTGGAGGGAGGGCGAGCCCATGGCAGGCGTCACCCGGCCAAGACTCGGGAGTGTCCAGGGTGGGACGGGAGAGGAGGAGCCGAGGTGGTCCCGGCGATCTCCAGCCATCGACGGCGCGCTCGGCAGCTTTCAGCCGCCAATACTGACCGCTCCCTGCTTCATCCTAACCTGGCTCAGCAACCTGGGAAGGCTGCAGTGGAGCTCTTGCCCGCCCGCTGCAGGCAAACTGGGAGCTCGCCGCCTGCCCCGGTCCCACAGCTGGCGGGACAGACTCGGGGAAAACTCCCGCGCGCACCCGCCAAGCTCGCTCGGTTCGACTTCCCGGATTTCTCCAGGGAAGAATCGCTCCCAGCCAAATGGGGTTTCTCTCCCTCTCAAGAGAGCTAAGGGGAGACCCGCCAGGTCTTCGCTGCCAGCCGGAGCGCCGGCGAATAACTCCCGCTTCGTTTCCTTTCCCCCTCCGCCCGCCCGCCTCCCTCCCTCGCTCCCGCCCAGCCCTTGGCGAGGAAAGGCCAACCGAGCGGGCGCCTCCCTGCCTCAGGCGCGCGCACGCCCTCCTTTGCCTGCTAGAAGCGACCGAGGGGAGAACTGCCGGCTTAGCCAAGTAGAGTTGCCAGGTGTCCACTATTTGAGTGGACAGTCTGCTTTTTTCACATTATGTTCACTATTTTTTTTCACAAAATAGTAAAGCTTTTGAATAAAAAAAATGTCCACTATTTTTTTTCACAAAATAGTGGACATTTTTTTTATTCAAAAGCTTTATGATGAAATGGTACGTAATCTAAAGCTGTGCAGTCTAAGACGGGGGTAGGCAACCTCGGCTCTTTTATGACTCGTGGACTCCAACTCCCAGAATTCCTGAGTCAGCATAGCTGACTCAGGAATTCTGGGAGTTGAAGTCCATGAGTCATAAAAGAGCCGAGGTTGCCTACCCCTGGTCTAAGAGAATAAGGATAGGAGAATCGCGTTTTGTCTTTTTTTTCATAAGTTAGAATGAGACAAAGATCGAATATCCACTGAATATATCCATTTACTTTTTTTACTACTTAACACCCTTCCCCCGCTTGTCCGCTATTTTTTGGAAGCAGACCTGGCAACCCTATAGGCAAGGTACTTGGAAGGACTTTACAAATGTAGTAGCGTCAGGACTATCCAAAAACAATTCTTTTCTTTTTTTCTTTTTTAAAGAGAGCAGAGATATACGACTCAAACGGTTGAAACTAGAATCGAATCAATTTACTCCGTTTACTCCCAACAAAAAAGTGTAAGGGGTTGGGGAATTCTTGAACGACTGTATTACAGGTGCGGTAGTCATCGACTTACAACAGTTCATTTAGTGACCGTTCGAAGTTACAACGGCACTGAAAAAAAGTGACCTATGACCATTTTTCACACTTAGGACTGTTGCAGCATCCCCTTGGTCATGTGATCAAAATTCGAATGCTTGGCAATTCACTCACAGTTACGACAGTTGCAGTGTCCCAGGGTCACGTGATCCCCTTTTGTGACCTGACAAGCTAAGCCAATGGGAAAGCTAGATTTACTTAACAAATGTGTTACTAACTTAACAACTGCAAACATTCACTTAACAACTGTGGCAAGGAAGGTCATAAAAGGGGGCAAAACTCTCTTAACAAATGTTTCACTAGCAACATCAATTTTGGGCTGAATTGTGGTCATAAGTTGAGGACTACCTGTATACATAGCTGGAAGAGGAATTATGCACGGTGGTTGTTGCCTATTTTTCTGTTGCTCTGGGTTTTTTCCCCGAGCATAAGAGCCTTCTCCAGCATCCCTTGCTTTCTTTTTACGTGTTCAGATTATTCAAGCTTTAACAGACCAGTGAGCAGACTATTGTAATGTCATCTTATAGTCCAAGGAATTGACAAGACTTTCTCCTTCACAAATTCACAGGCAAAAATTTCCTTGTCTCTGCCTTTTTTGTGGTCTAACCTTCCATTGTCTCATCTGTACTTCTTAAAAAAGAGAGGTCAGATATGTGTCAGACTCTCCTTGGATATGCGTCATGTTCTCCCCTACTGGTTTCAAAGGGGTGTTAAATACTATATGACAGAATTCATATAACATGTCAAAAGCTAAACATAAAGCAAACATTGCTTTATTAATGTGCCGGCTAGAAGCAAAAGAGATACATTAGAAACCTATATGGCCTCTTAGTATAATCCCAAAACCAGAAAAATAATATTCTAATGCTATTTAATGAAACAACCATTAGATAGGAATAGACCGATTTGTGCAGCTGTGGTTTGGCCAACATTCTCAACTAATTTGGCTAGGATTTATATTTTTGCATCTTGTTTGAACTTAGATACTGTAATATGTTTAATTTGTGGTGCAATCTGCTATAGAACTCCAGGGAGATGGATAAGCAATGTTAAAAATAACAAAGTTTAATATGATGTGTGGATGCAGCCAATATCTGTAATTCTCAATTCTGAAGGAAGCTGTTTGGAGGAAGCTTTTTGGCAAGTATCATTTATAGTTGAGGGGTGAGAATAGTACATCTGTTGCAATTTTTCCTTTGGCTCAGCAGCAAATTGTGCAAGGGTTCTATCCTTTGCATTTGTCTTTCCTGTAGTAGGAATGTTTGAAAACCAAATGTGCATTGAAAACATTATTGCAATTAATTCTTTGTTTGTTAGATTTATATTGAAGCTTTTATTCAGGAATTGAAGGCAGCATCAGCTTAAAAAAACAATAAATTTATTGTCCCATAAACTTTCTTGGATTACAGAGTAGTTGATCAGTTGCATGTCTTGAAAGACAAATGTGTGTGAGAGAGTGTTAGATGGTGGTGGAGAACAAAACTGAGAAGGGGATGGTAAAGAAGAAAAGGAAAGGAAGGAAGTTTAGACTTTTTGAAATGGTGATATAAATTACAATTTTGGGAATGGTATTACTAGTTTTCCTCTTGAACTGACTGAGATAACCATCGATGTACTTTCCTCCTTCTTTTCCTAGACTTACAAGTTGTTGTACAATATTCTTCATGCTTGTTACTTTAATTTTTTCAGTGTTATTTGCTTTTAACTAAACATGTATGTATTGCTGGTACAGCACATATGTCTCTAATTTTGAAAGACATGTTCATTATTCCTACTTTCCCATCACTGTTTCCCATTTCCAAACATTCAGGCTATTTTCTTTTCATACTCAGTTTGTTTTTCTTTAGTCTACTTTGTGCTTGGTAATGGTGCTGTATGTCTTGAAAAGCCTTTATAGCATCCTTGTGTAGAAATTTATTTTACTACAAAAATACGGTTTTCAATGCTTCAGATAGAGAAAATGTGAATACAAAGTATTTATTTTCAACTATATACCAGTGTGATGTGCTTGATTGCCACCATTGTGGTGCCATAGAAGAGTATGCCTGCAAAATATAACTTTAAAATAATACCACCTGGATTTCATTTTAATGTATGCATTCAATAATTTAATGTAGCTTTAGTCTGTAGATTTTTTAAAATATGATACAGTAACTGTGGCTTATATTTCCTGATATATTTATTAAATAAAATGAGCATATCACATAGAGTTGAAGGAAGCTACTTAGGTCTTAGGCTCCAAACCTCTGCTCAGAGCAGGAATTTAAATTAAAACATGTCTGATCAATGTCTATTAGATTCTCAGACTATCATATGCAATAAAAGAGATCCCATTGTTTCCCCAATGTATCCATTATCAACTGGTTTTTACTTTCCTGATTATAATTTCATGTCCTGAACAATGCTGTGGCTTTATTTTGGGTGATAGTCCTTCATCCATACAGCATATTATCATCTAAACAAAGGCGATTTTTTTAATACTAATTGAAGGAAAAACATGGAATCAACTTGATGGCACTAGAAGCTCAATAATTCCCAGGAAACAAAGAGATCTGGAGGATCTCTCTGGCTGAACTAGAATGCTTAGTAAGACAATTATGAACTCCTATGATAGATTTCTCTTAAAAGGGAAAGCTACACCTTTTTGATTTCAGTCACAATTCACTGAAGTTTCTGGCTTGGAAATGAATATTGTGCAGCAATAATATTTAGTGATTATTTCCTAATTATGGAATTAGGAAAGATTAAAAACATAGAAAGAATTAGGAAGATTTCTCTTGCTCCATTTTTGCTAGTTTTTTTTATCAGTGCTCTCTACTTTATTTTAATTTTGCTTTATAAAGTTAACATAAATTAAACCTTAATTAGAAGTATATTTCCCAACTGTATACTATGGTTTCTAAGCAGTTGTTGCAAAGCAAATGTATCTAAAGTATGAATAAAAACTGATAATTTTTTACACTCATGGGAGTGACTTTATTCCTTGTGTTATAATTGCTAAAGCTGATTATTAATTCATAAAAAGATACCGATGAAATGACTATGTAGGTCCCATTATTTTAGTACGACTGTACACTGAATTTTTTAAAAAGATCCTATTAAAATATATAGTCAGTAGGCTATATTTTGATACAAGTTTTCATAGGAGACATGAATATGGACAAATATTATGAGCTGTTGGATTTGCCTCTATATCTCAAAAATGGAAATTAACATTAAGATTTTTTCCTATATTTAATTATACAAAATTTATTTTAGTACCAAGCTGTCAGTCTGATGTAAATTTCTAACAGGATTATAGTCAGTCTATTTATTACATTTCACTTTTAAGGAAGCATCAACTTCCAAAGATGCTTTTAATTAGAAAAGATAAAAAGATGCAATATATTGTTCTCATTCTTCAAGTTCCAGGGTCCTCTATCCTGACTAAAGTGCAAAATATTTTTAAATTATCAGGAAAGACTCTACAGTCTGACATCATGTAACCTCTGTTTCATATCCAGTCTTTCCAAAGTCATTTCTCCTACTCCAAGATAACAGCAACTGTTACAAAACAGCAACTAAATTAGTTAACTGAGAATATAAGGAC